TAAGGCACTATTATAGTGGTCTGGACACATCAAGGCACTATTATAGTGGTCTCAACACATTAAGGCACTATTATAGTGGTCTCAACACATTAAGGCACTATTATAGTTGTCTCAACATATGCCTTAGATTTCCTTGTAGCTTCCCACATCCAACAAACAATGTTCAGTTTTACAACTGGTTCACTACTACAGCATGTGTGAATACAAGATGTACAGTTCAAACACCTCGATTTTTTATCTAGCTAGTCCACCTCAGCCACCTTCACCTGTTTATATATTATTATTCTGTTATTAGATCAAAAGCTGAGTAAAGAAATCCGAGTGTTTTTATAGCCTTGAGAAGAAGCAGAACACCATATAAAACACATATCACCACTATACTTTTATAACTTTAAAGGTGTTTTTGTTAATTCCTTAATTTCATATCTTAAAAAGTGACTTGAACCACATGTAAGTAGGCTTACCTCTGTAGATAGCTAGACTTGACTTGGAAGTAGTACATATAAAATACAAGATTCACTGAACCTTCACAACTGCTACTACCTTTCTTCATATATATCAATGTTGACACCTCTAGAACATGAGCTCAATAGATTATTTAAATTTACTGATGACATAAAAATTTTTGGTGTTACTGGGTGTGAAGAGGTTGCTATTATTTTACAAAAAATGTGGATTATTTGGCGAGTTGGGCAAATAAATGGCAGATGGTTTTTAATTATAATAAATGAAAAGTAATGTATGTGTGATATCACAGTTTTAATTATAAATATAATTTTGATGGGAATAACAGTGTTATGGAAGAAAAAGATTTTAGTTTTCAGATTGATTAGTGTTTTAAGTCAACCAAACAGTGCCGTTGCTAGTGGCAGGATTTTAGGTTGTATCTACAGAAATATTGAATACAAGTCTACAAAGATTATAATATAATTGTATAGGTCACTGGTTAGAATATTGTGTTCATTCTTGGGCTCCTTACCTTATGAAAGACATTGAATTGTTGGAAAGAGTTCAGAGAAGGGTTACTAGAATGGTGCCTGGAATGGAACGGTTGTCACACAAGGAAAGACTGAAATCTTTAAAATTATTTTCTCTTAAAAATGAAGAGTTAGAGGGATCTGACTGGGGTGTTTAGGATTGTAAAGGGAATTGATAGTATTGATGCAACATTTTTTTTTCATATTTAATGATGTAAATTGTAAGACTAGAAGACACAAATATAACTAATAATGTTAGTGTTACAGTTTGAATAAAAATTAAAGAAGCCTGGAGACAGTTGTCATTAAAATTTGGATTA